TTGGTGATTAATATGCAGAATCAGTATTATCATAGTAAACACGAACGCCCATTCTTTCACAAGCGATCTCCTAGGGTGTAACGTCACCTTAAAACTATCTGGCAACAAAAGACATAAAAGTACCATGTAATTATCATCAACAGAACTGAACTTTTGACACTTGGCAAAGTCATTGATCGCCTAATTGTAACGGATTCAAAATCGTGCACGCCTGCGTCGTAATTGAACGCGCGCGTGCCAAACACCTGTCGTCTGCTGACCAAAGATCGTCTGCTGCTGGAGGTGATCATTATCAACATTAACACCGCGTTTAAGATAACTAATGAAGGACATTTATACGAGATTGAACCACATATAACTACAACAGTCACTTTGTTTAGCCAAAATGAAATGAAAATAAAAAACACATATACAAAGCGAGGGCATTCGTTAAATCAAACCCTGGCAGCGGTACTAATTCAGTCCTGACATGTAAAGAAAAAAAAGGATTGTAATTTATCGAACTCTTTTCTTCAGATGTCAACAAATACTAAAAAAAACCCAGTTATTCTTTCGACAAAACCCATCGATTATTTTCCAAATTGAAATCGCTTTTACTAAAGTCTTTACCAGGGCCTTTGTGTTTGGGGATATCTGTAAGCCATACCCGTAAGAAGTTGTTCAAATCTTTTATGTCAAAACTTTAAAGTTCTTTGTTAGTTTAAAGATTTTGGAATCGAGTATAAGTATATCAAACAAAATGTAAATAAAAATAAAGCACGGATATTTGAGAGCACGATCAGGGTGTGTGTTACTGGCACGATAAAGTACGAATTTGTCGGGTTACAAACGATAATAATAATGATAATAATAATAATGATAATAATAATAATAATAATATAATAATAATAATAATAATAATAATAAATAACTATAATAATAATATAATTATAATAATAATAATAATAATAATATAATACAATAATAATAATAATAATAATAATAATAATAATAATAATAATATACGGAAAGAAGAATATCAAAAAAACTTTTTGAGCCTGTTTATGCTTCACTGAAGCTTACATTTTAGAAGCACGGTTACTCTTTTAGACCGCTCACTTTCCATTTATATGTGTACATTGTATTATATATTTCGGGCTTATTTGGTTTGGCTGATATATTGGCATCTTAATATTAAGACCAACTCACCAGCTTAACAGTATTTTCTATATCATTTGCTTAAAAATTATAATGACTATAGTACAGGAATATAATTATGAAGAGTTCAAATTTTATAGAAGTTAAAGTCACATAGGTAGACGGAGAAACAAATTACCAAATTAAACAAATTTGGTGGCACGATAGCTCAGTTGGTTTGACCACTGACTGTCACTCCTGAGGTCCCGGGTTCGATCCTGGATAACACCCTTGTGATTTTTCAGAAGCACTGTCAGTGTTTCCCACCTACCTAGAGGTATATATTGATACGAAACCCAGGTAATCCTCACATGTATTACTGCTATATAATGACAAGGGATCTATACACAAGTGCTAGGAACTGGTTCTCGGATTCCTTTGTATCTCATAGCTGTCTCTAGTGTCTGCTGTGGTGAAGACACTACTGAAAATAAGGGCTTGCACTTTCGCAAGCTAACCTTGACCGCCCGGTCTAAAGAAAATCAAATCAAATCAAACCCGGGCACCGCCGCAATGACGTCGCTTTAAAGTTTATATAACAAAACACAATACGTCATTTCAAAGTAAGTTTCATTTATATTTTTCCATAAACAAAACTATAACGAGCTATTGTAGATACTGGTTGTACTTATTCTCTACTGTACATTATTATATTGCTCTGCATTCAACCATACTACACTACAATTTGTTGAGCCACTGCACTGCATTTTACCGTAGTACACTACAATATGTTGAACTATTGCACTGCACTTCACCGTACTACACTACAGTATGTTGAACTATTGTACTACACTACAATGTGTCCAACTATTGCACAGCATTTTACTGTACTACACTACAATATATAGATATACAGCACAGCATTGTAATGTAGTGCTGTATTGCCCTAAAATACATGTTATTCATGTACAACCGTACTGTGACGGAATCCATTGAACTGCACCGCACTGCACAGCTCGGAAATGAACAATCGAAAGGAATAATCAGATGCCAATAATCTAATTAACTTAATTGAACTAGAATCGACTACGCTTAACTTCACTTAACTGTGTTTTAAATGAAAGAGGGGTATGTATAAGTCTTTCTTGCAGAAGGGAGAAATTTAACAGCTGGCCACAGTCTCTGCTAAAAATCTTTTGAAATAAGATACCTATTAGAAGTACAAAATTTTAGATACTAATTATTTGATCTTTTATCATATTTCAACAGCATTAATTCTCTGCTAATATAATATGTGAAACATAAAACATTTGGTTCCATACAACATTAATTAAGTTCATAGACGATAATTAGCACTGTAATTTAATATAATAAACGCAAGTCGTTTGTTTCGTATCATATTAGAAACGCAATGACAGATCTAATCTCAAATAACTAAATAGCATGGGATATTGTCATTATTTAAAGTATGGCCCTGTAGTTAGATGGACATAAAATAGAGAAAATAAAGTTTCACCTATTCTACACAAAGGTACTAAAGTTAAGAGGTCTTTGGCCGGAGCAATATTCCGTTTATGGGTTGAGGTATAAAACTCCCATAAAATATCATAAAAAGACGATTCACACAAAACATCCATTACTGATTCGATATTATAATTAGAGCTGACCCGCTTTCATAAGCACGGTCCCTTTGTCAGTCGCGCGCGCCACCTGTCGTATAGCAGTAAAAGCGGAAGACATCTGTGTCGTCTGCATTGAAATGCCCTGATCAACCCTGGTGTGAAACCGTTCCAGACCTTGAATTCCTCTTTATGCGGTGAAAATAACGGAAAGTCGGTGATAATATGAAATTAATGCGACTTTGTTTAAGTTTAAAATAATTATGTTTAAAGTTAAACGACTTTTTCACAGCGAGTTCACACAAAAGAGCGCGTCCTCTCAAATCGGTTTGATATAATGACATTTTGAATAAATGAAGTGTCACTCAGAATTCCAGCACCAAATGTCTTAATTTGGCGCGTATGAAAATCATCTTTTCTAAAACAGATCAATCGCCCCGGAATAATAACTCTTTCAACAGATGTTGTTATATTCAATTCAAAACTTAAAACATTCATCGCCAATATAAAATATATACACAACTTAACAAAAGCAGTACAACTACGAAGAGAAAAGAATCAAGTCATACATATAAAATAATACAATCAAATTCTATCGCCAATAACTATGCATTATGAAACCATAGCTTATAAATAACATATATTCACTTACTTTATAGTACATAAATCATGTCTGAAATTTTTGCGCCAAATGTGAGCTTTGTAAACGTATTTTGCAAAGTTATTTTTTATAACAGCACTTCGTTGACAAATTAAAAAAGATTTTAATTTAAACAAACTTAGCCAATAATAATTAGGTAAAATATTAAGTCTAAGCTGTCTGTAAAAATGATATACTAAAAGGAAATGATATTCATTTTCTTTACTATTCATATTTACATTTAATAGACCAAAAATTCACAATTGATAATAAATGAGATTTCATACAAAACAAGCTTAGATTGGCCAACATTCCTACGGTTAAAACAAATAATAATAAATAATTAATGACTTACAGCACAAAAAATTTATAGTTGGCATCTGGAGCATTAGTTTTCATATTGAGCCTCGATTCTAGAGTCTATTTACATGGATTGTAGACAGCATAAAGAGCTTTGGATTTATTCACATACTTTTTTTTGCTTAATTTGGATCTAGCTGTTTTGTGCGCAAGTTTAGATAAACCTCTATCTATCGATATAGATATATTGTATTGAAAAAATAATAAAATATTCAAGGGAACAAACTGGTAGACCTTGCATTGCAACATAGTATTTCAGAATTATGAGAAAAAATGCAGTTTTCCTTAATATAAGGGAAACAACTCAATTTAATGTGAATATGCCGTGAGTACGGATTTGCTTCCCTTTCATAGTAAACCCGGTGTCTAGGAGGGCGATTACATGTACGTCGTACCAACACAGTATAGGTCATATGACGAATTTCCATCTTTGAAGGAAGACCTCAGGCGCCCCTCATAGTATTATTCAAAGCCTTAACCACTCTGTCTCTGTCATTCTGTCTTGCAATGAAAACAAATCAACAACGAATACATTTTAAAGTGGCATTGCATCCGTCAATACAATAAGGAGTAATGCCAAAATGCACTGGTAAATTTACTTAAGAAAAATATAAAAGATGTAAGCACTGATGGTTTATTCAGACGTATGAGAAGTGTTATATAATTGCTGGAGTTATCCTTTTTGTTCCAAGATAAAACTGATTGTTATCCTGCTATACAGTACCAATTCCGGTCAAAGCATGTATATGGTGAAATTTGAAATCTACAAAACATCATGAATCATGCATCAACACTTTTTTCTTTGCTGAACTTAATTTCTAGGTGAAAATGACGTCGACCGTGATTGAATTCGCTGCATAATTCGGAAAAGCCGTTGATAGTTTTTTTCATTTGATCAACATAACTTTCAAATCGTCATTTTTTCAAAGACCGTAAGGTGATATTTAATGTGTGTTTTTTATAAGCTACATCTCATAATCTCATGCAATGTTTATATAAAAACGTATTAACGGTAAAGTATGTTGATTCCATAATTTTGTCTTGAACAGTAAAGACAATTTTTTTTAAAGCAGATAGGACTAAAAGGGCAATTTAATTTTTAAATACAAATGAATTGTTAAAAAACATAGAGATGTACATGTATCCGTTTCATTTTCTTTTAAAAGTTTATTGAAAAAAAAGTGTTGATTAAGATCAAAATGATTTAGAATGAACATTAATTGATGTTTATTTCTAGAACATATTAATATCTGTTATATAAGTATATGTAATATCCGGGCATGTACGTATCTCACACAAGTTTACCAAAAACTTCCATATACTACTCTTTCGTGGTTTGCAAAATTGTTGTCTGATACAACTTAATTTCAAAGTAATTATTCGTTGTATTTCAGACCTTCCACTGTATACCAATGCATGAAGGTGCAAACTGGCCTGGGTGCATACTGGTGGCAAAGTCTAATCACGTGGCTTCCAATGTCCTTGTTGTGAAATTAAAGTGAAGTGACGAATTAACAAGAAAAAGCGAGTTGGCAAGGGGACGAATTGCCATTCATAAATGAGTGATTGCCCTTTGAAGAAACCCGCCATTAAGTTGAGGTGATGAACAAAATAGTGTGGTGAGGATTTTTTTACTGATTCTTTTACGTGATAATCTTTGTAGATAGTGAGCATAATTTTCCTCTCAATATACTCAAAAAACTTCATTTAGTGTCTAGTTCTGGTTTCTTAAACTTTATAAGCCGCGATTTTATTATTTAACATTTTTTTTTTCATCTGATGCGGCATAATAGTTTTGGATAAGACCTGTTACGAAACCTTACCAGAATAACAGAAGTTGATTTAACCTTATTTTCACTTGCAAATACGCTTGACCCAATCAATTATTGTGCATATAACGATAAAACAATTATTTTGACATTGTTCTATACCAATTAATGTATCAAAATATTAATACCGACATGATTTCAATAATTTTATTCTTAAAAGATAATGTTTTTATTTATTTTCGTTTTTTTATTTATTTTCGTCATTTTTTAATACTTAAATATGATTTTATTGAATTCATATGTCAGTAAATCACCTTCCTCAATATCTTTAAAAAAAGTATTTTATAAAAATATTGGGAGCGCATGGGTTAGTAAAGATCAATCTCGTAATCACGTGGTCAAACACTTTGGCAATATGGCGGCCAAGTGCCGAATTATTTACCTGTCGGAAACTATTAGGTAGTTTATGTTCGTAATAAAACTTTTATTTGTCCATCCTTGGCTTATCAACCGATTATTTATAGTTTTATCAAGGTTTGCTTCATATTACTTCATGGCATGTTCAATAAATGAATACGAGCGTGTTAGATTCCTGACATTATTATTGGTGGACTTTCCCTACGGGGTTGTCTTCAGCGTTCACGTTATGTCATAGTATATAAACGGGTACACTGAAGACCTTAAGCTACATTTAGTGTTGTATAAATGCGAAGACATAGAATTCTTCTTAAATGCAATCTTCTTTACAAATGCAATCATCTTGAGGTAACTTTTTCTTTTTATAATATTTAGGGAAATAATTCATACTTGGGATAATATAACAGGATTGACTGGACAAACCTATTAAAAAAGGGGGAAAACAACTGTTTTCTTTAATATTCTTTTTAAAGATTTGTTTAAATCATTTTTTTTCTTTTTTTTTTATAGAAAAAGAAAAGGCCATGCTATGCCCCTCGCCCGGTTATGTCACTTAATTGTGAAGTTTTTTCATGATCTAAATCCAGTTATGCCTTCAGTGTATTTAATATTTTGCTTTTTTTTTCAGGACTTTATATGAGATTTTGATCTGTTTTCAAAACAAGTGCAAAATGCACACTGGAGAAAAATTATTAACGTGCAAGTTGTTTGTTTTCAGATTCAGCAGGATGAGTGACCTAAAGAGACACATTAAACAACAACATACCCGAGAAAAACAATTTCAATGTAACTTCTGTGATGGTACATTCACCAAAAAAGGTGGTCTAACTCGACACCTGACAATACATACTGGAGAAAAACCTTACAAATGTGATGTGTGTGATAGTTCATTCAGGATAAAGTGTTATCTAAAGTCACATATGAGAAAACATACTGGAGAAAAACCATATAAGTGTGATAAATGTAATAGCACTTTTAGTCATAAAAGCGGTCTTAATACTCATGCGAGAAAACATACAGGACAAAAGCCATTTAAATGTAATGAATGTTACAGTACATTCAATCAAAAATGGTCTCTGATAGAACACATGAAAATACATACAGTGGAAAAACCATATACATGTGATGTTTGTAATAGTGCATTCATTCGAAAGAGTTATCTTAAGCGACACATGCAAATACATACCCGAGAAAAACAATTTCAATGTAACTTATGTGATGGTACATTCACCAAAAAAGATGGTCTAACTCGACACCTGACAATACATACTGGAGAAAAACCTTACAAATGTGATGTGTGTGATAGTTCATTCAGGCTTAAGTGTTATCAAAAGTCACATATGAGAAAACATACTGGAGAAAAACCATATAAGTGTGATAAATGTAATAGCACTTTTAGTCATAAAAGTAGTCTTAATACTCATGCGATAAAACATACAGGAGAAAAGCCATTTAAATGTAATGAATGTTACAGTACATTCAATCGAAAATGGTCTCTGATAGAACACATGAAAATACATACAGGAGAAAAACCATATACATGTGATGTTTGTAATAGTGCATTCATTCGAAAGAATTATCTTAAGCGACACATGCAAATACATACCGGAGAAAAACCATTTAAATGTGATGAATATAATAGTACATTCGGTCAAAAAAGTCATCTGACAAAACATTTGAGAAAACATACTGGAGAAAAACCATTTTTATGTTATATATGTAATAATACTTTTATCTCAAAGAGTAATCTTGAGCGACACATGCGAATACATACTGGAGAAAAACCATTTAAATGTGCTGAATGTAATAGTACATTCTGTCAAAAAAGTTCTTTGACAGAACACATAAGAATACATACAGGAGAAAAACCATATACATGTGCTGTTTGTAATAGTGCATTCATTCGAAAGAGTTATCTTAAGCGACACATGCAAATACATACCGGAGAAATACCATTTAAATGTGATGGAATGTAATAGTACATTCGGTCAAAAAAGTCATCTGACAAAACATTGAGAAAAACATACTGAGAGAAAAACCATTTTTATGTTATATATGTAATAATACTTTTATCTCAAAAGATAATCTTGAGCGACACATGCGAATACATACTGGAGAAAAACCATTTAAATGTGCTGAATGTTTATAGTACATTCTGTCAAAAAAGTTCTTTGACAGAACACATAAGAATACATACAGGAGAAAAACCATATAAATGTGATGTATGTAACAATATTTCATTTCAAAGAGTAGTCTTAAGCAACACATCAAGGCACATATGGGGAAAATATATGGACGGAGAAAAAAAAAATGTAGTAAATTTAACGTAATTGAAGTTTCAATCTTGACATTTGAGAATACATGCATGCTGTTTTTACACGCCTGATGAGTCTGGAGGACTTAACTTGCTTTTGGTTTTGAATGTCCGCCTGTCTGCCCATAGACAATTAGTTTCCAAATGATGAATTGAAAGATAATCACATTAATGTACAGTTATCTTTTATTTGACTTTTTTTCGTGTTATTTCATATTAAAGATCTGATTATTTGTTTTTTCCACTCGAAGGGTTTTTGTTACTTGTGTTGTATCGTTGTAACTATATAATAAAGTCAAGTATAATAACAAAGTCCGATATACATATATATACAGTTTATTTACAAGACTAGTAATATAAAGATATGATCAAGCGATCTTACTACAAGTGTAGCTGGTCAACGACTGACGGATAATTCCAGCCGGGTTACATGTATAGACTAGCTATAGTCTGTTCAAGATAACAGTATGGTAAACATCTACATCTCCCCTTCTTATAAGTATTAAAAAAAATACATTCTTTATTTATCAGAAACACTCATATGTCAAATCAAAAGGATAGTAAAAAACAAGTACGATTTTTTTCATTCAAAAAATTAAATATAAGATGAAAAATTGTCAATGTTCAGAAAACTAGAATAAAAGCTATAAAATTTATTGTTAATAATCAAAATAATAATTTGTTTTGATTAGAGTACAACAAGTGGTGGTGAAAGGTAAAATGATATGTTTATATGATGTTTATTTCACCCACTCACTACTTGAATAGCGCTGATTGCTTTTCACCACTCTCCCTGACCGTGTTATATAAGGGCCTTCAGTATTGCGGTTAATCTGATCTTGATTGTTTACACATGTTTGCTCTTTACTATAACAGGATCAGCAAAAATATGAGTTGCATTGGGTCAAAGTGTGAGAAATTTTCCTCTGTTTTCAAAAGATGTTGCCTGTTACAACGATAAACAGTTCCATCTTGCGTAACAACGGAATATGACCTTTCATCATGTTTATTGATGATTTTGGCAGGTTCCCAAATTTTTCACCTGAACGAATTCTCACGGAGTCAATTACATAAAGGGGGCATAGGGGCTTGGCGTTTTTGTCGTGATTTTTTTTTTGCGTAATCTTTGACCTATCATTATTTTTTATGACGAGGGAAGAAGATATGGTTTTAGGTTGTAACAGTTTGGGGTGATTGGGAAATTGACTTAGTTCTACGACCCATAAGTAACTGCACTGGTGTAAAACCACAGTCGAGGGGGTATTTCTGTTATTCGTATTCGAGCAAAGCTGTATACGGGTTGTGACCACTTTCTTTTGCTTTAGTAAGTAACCTTTTAGCAATTTAAACAGCTTTCTCTGCCATACCATTTGATCTTGGAAAAATATGGAGAAGATGTTTATGCTCAAATTTCCACTTGCGCGTGAAAATCTTCAAATTCTTGCGAGGAAAATTGAGGTCCATTGTCATGTTAATATATCGCATATACCATAACGCGACATATGTACTCTCAGTTTTTGGATGACTGTGCCTGACCTTGTATCAGGGAATAAATTTATTTTAAAAAAACGACAAATCGGTTTTACAAGTATTGCCATCAAACTAAAAATAAACCCCATTTTTTTAAAGGGGCCCCTTGGGAAAACTGCGGGAACAACCCCTTTCCCAACTTCATTTTTCAAACAGGGATTTCAAAAACAAACTTACTTTTGGGCCAAAAAATTTTCTTTTGGCGTTTTTTTTAACCCAAGTGACCTGGAACCTGCCGCATTTCCGGCGAAAAGGGTTTTTGGTATTTTGCCTTTTACCACGAAATATCAAGGAACTTCCATGATAATTGCCGGGATTTCCCGAATTGGTATTTTTGGGATGCCCCCACGGCTTTAACAAATCTGCTATTTTCTTGGGAATAGTTGCCTAAGAATTTAACGTCTATTCAGTAACAAACAACTGTTTCGTAATTGAAATGTACATGCAGATCGAGACCCTTCAATCAATGTAGGCATTGTTTCAGGTAGTGAATGTCGCGATAAAAAATCGCTGACCGGTATATTCTTACCGCTTACATGCTCTACAGTTACTTTGTACTTTTGTAACTGAAGCAGCATTCTCTGAAGTTTAGGAGGGGCCGCCGAAAGGGGTTTCTTCATAATTGACTCGATCGGTTTATGATCGCTTTTAACAATTATGGGTCTTCCATATGTAAATTGATGGAATCGCTTACAGCCAAAGACAATGGCTAACATTTCTTTCTCAATTTGCGCATACATTTTTTCAGTATTTGTGAAAAGTATATTTGTATGTTATTTGCAGAAAAGGAAATATCTAGAGATAAAAAAAAACATTCATACAAAGTTATATCAGAAACATTGTAAATATCATGATGTGTAAAACAGGAAAAGGTAATTTACATGTATGAGCATATATTTAGTGTTGCTAACTTGAAAGGTGTTTAGTAAAGACTAAAGTGTCGTGGTGAACGTTCTAAGTAGTTACTACAATATAGCCCTTTCTTAATTTGTTTATTGTATTGTATTGTTCCGCTTTCCTTACTTTTTCCTTCATATAGCCCTTTCTTAAAATTTGTTTTTCTTTATGCTGATCTTTGAAAGTTTCCAAGAAATTTTATTACACTAATGTTGCCGTAAATGGATTTGTTGTGTTTTTTTTATTACACTTATAAAGGGGAATGTTGCCGTTTTTGTTGTTTTTTCGCTCTCTGAAGCCTTTTTTAAATGTTCTATATTTCAAATTTATAATTCCCATTATATTGTCATTTCAATTATGTTAGTATATTATTTTAAGTTTTACGGGAAATATTATTTTCCAAAGTTTAGGCAATAATTTTAATAAAAAAACTAACAGCTTTTTAGTGCGCTAGTTACACTTGATTTGTCCAAATATATGTAGAAATGTCCGAAACAAGTTCCTCGCTAATATAATTGACCAGAGTACATGTATATAATTAACAAGAAGTATCTTTAAAAAATATACTCGGCCGAAGTAAAACTGGTTAACTTGCATATGTTAGATGCAAAGTCATATATAGAATTGTTCGCAATGATATAACAATTTCTTGTAGGGTTAAGTTAATCTTGAAAAAAATGGAGCGCCTGATTTGAGATGTTTGTGTTTCCTAAAACAAGCATTTCGTGTTTCGGTAAAGTGAAACTCATTTTCCTTACACCAACACATCAAGGCCATTCCCAAGTAAGGGGCAATTATTTTTGTAAAATAAACTATGATTAATTTGCAAAAATGTATACAAATTATATATAATTTTTATCAAATGAACACGCCAATAAACATATAATATATAAGACACTTATTGAACATCCTAAGATAAGGGTACTTGATAAGTTCTGATATTATCCTCTTGATTAATGACAAAATTTAAAATTCAGATCTTGTGTGAAATGAATAAATCTATGTTGTCTGCATTGAAATGCCCTGATCAACCCTGGTGTGAAACCGTTCCAGACATTGAATTCCTCTTTATGCGGTGGAAATGGAAAGTCAGTAATAATATGAAAATATGCGACTTTGTTTAAGTTTAAAATAATGCTGTTTTAAGATAAACGACTTTCACACAGATTTCACACAAAAGAGTGCGTCCTCTTTAAATCAGTTATTGAAAAGATCGGTTAAATATAATGACATTTTGAATAAATGAAGTGTCACTCAGAATTCCAGCACCAAATGTCTTAATTTGGCGCGTTTGAATTAACAAATCAATCGCCCGGAATAATTACTCTTTCAACAGATGTTGTTATATTCAATTCAATTCAATTCTATATATTATTTAGCAAAAACATATAAATGTTCATCTCCAATATAACGCATATACAAAACTTAACAAAAGCAGTACAAATACAAAGAGTAAAGAATCAAGTCACATATAAAATAATGAAATCAATCTCTATCGACAATTACTATACAGTAAGAAACTATTTAGCTGATTAAAAACATATATTAATTAACTAACTTTATAGTACATTAATCATGCCTGAAGTTTTTCGAGCTAAAGGTTAGATTTGTAAACGTATTTTGCTAATTTTTTAATAATATCACTTTGTTGACAAATTAAAAATAGATTTGAATTTAAACAAACTTAGCCAATGGCAATAATAATTAGTAAAATATTAAGTCAAAGCTGTAGCAAGATGAGTAAATTGTAACATGATACTCTAGGTGCGTACAGCTCTGTAACACCGCACTTTGGGGTCAAACGCACTTTGGGGTCCGACCCCAAAGTGCGTTAAACTTCGCACCGCACTTTGGGGTCAAACGCACTTTGGGGTCAAAATCGAGAAATTGACCCCAAAGTGCGTTAAATATGCTACATGTCAACGCACTTTGGGTTCCAGATGGTCTAAAGGTGTAATCTGAGTTTCTGCTTAAATACTGAGAACTGACTTATTTTCGATCTTCGATATTGAAATATTTGAGGTGGAATTCAAGATGGCGGTCAATACTTTGGAATAATGCTAAAGTGATAAAAAAAGTTTCATTAATTTTACCACTTATAAAACCCATTACTTCAGTATACACGGGCCTTTTAACGCCTTTTTCAACCCCCGCCCCTTTTTTGTTGTCTCAAAATGGTGGAAAAAATGCCTTATTTAGGCCCCCAACACTTGTTTTTGTTTTGAGAAATGTTGTTAAAAAAGTGACCCA